AAAGCTTCCAAGCATAACAAAATCTGTAACATTGAGGTTAGAGGAACAACTGTCACCCCTGTCCGTAGTTTGGAACATCAAGAGTCAATCATTGGGAGCCATGGAGTAATTCGTCAAATTGTTGACGAAACTGCTTCATCTCAAATGGCTATCAATGCAGCTCAGCTAAAAACCTTTTAGTCACATGGTCGTGCTTCAAAGTCAGCACACAGCATTCCGACTCTTCCGCCAACTTGTCAAGTCGACGAGAAAAACCTTAGAGCGGCAGAACAGTCCATAGAAATAAGATCATAAAGCTTCGGATAATGGAGAAATATGGATAGTGAAACAAAGATATCCATGGCAGTAGCAGGTTTTCAGCCGCGATCAACATCTCTGGGATGAAATTAAACATCAACATATTTAAACTCATATAAGAATCTGTAGAAGAGTGCGAAAGTAATCTCTAATCAGTCCACGTAGAACAAAGATGTCGTTAATTCTCGATATAATGTCGGACGGGAGGTGCCTAATATCCGTTTCATAATATGATGCCTCCCACTCTTTTTTGATTAACTCAAGAACGCAATCAGCTAGAGATCTGCAGTTTTTACCAATCGAAAGGAGCGTTTTTTTCTCCAATAGAATCAGTCACTGCTACATAAAATTGCAAAAATGCATGAAAACGATTCGGTATTCGGAAGAAATTTTCTTTTTGACATGTGATCTAGATAGAGAGACTTTGGATCTATACTTCAGAATATAATTCGAATGATTATCTTACCGCATGGTAACGTTAAGCAAATAAAAGCGTCTATTGAATCGCAAGAAAACTGTCAGTTTCTTTTAATTTTAAGCAAATTTACTTTTTATCAAAAATTCATCTGAATGACAGATTATTTTTTTCGATGTTATGCAGAAATGACTGATTTGAAAACGCGTTTGTCTGACATAACATTAGAGAAAAAGATGCTTCTCCTCTGTCTCTTCTTTCAATTGGTGAAAACTGCAGATCTATAGCTGATTGCGTTCTTGAGTTATTCAAAAAATAGTGGGACACATTATATTTTGAAACAGACATTAGTTCATGACTATACTCGGAAAACTTGGTAGGCGTCATGGTTTTCACAAGGACGGTGGTAGTGTGAGATTTTGAAAATATTTTCATATACATTATGATCGCTTGACCGATTCAAAACAGACAGCGGTACAAAAGAACATCGTCATCGCACTTCAGAAAAAGAAGAATTCAAATGATAATAAACGATTCTTTGTTCCGTTTATGATCTAGAGCAAGAATTCATTAGGCATCTCAAAAACGAACTTTTATGTTTATTACCCTTCATAAAAAGCATTAATTATGAGTTTTTCAATACAGATAAGCACTCCTCTATCAATCAAAGTGTTCTCATAAATATACATATGCGACTAAGTATGCGCTTATATAACTTCTTATATCATGATTTATTTAATATCGATCAATTTTTGTCAGGTATTTTAGGTTTCATCAACAAAGCACATAATAAATATGCATATCGCACTACTAGTTGTTACATATTCCATGGTAGCATCAACAATCTTTGCACAAACAACAGACGAGGTAGCTCCATTACGCTTTCCACAGCTTTGGAATTTTAATCAACTTCATTCAAACTTGAAATATGATTCTGCCGATATACCTATTGCATCATTTCGGTCAGAACTACTCACCAGTACAATTTTGCTTTCAATCGATCAGTATTCAATTTGTAAGCGCGATTTAGAAATATTGATCGATGCTGCATTGCGGCGTGATCTATGGGCATTGAAAGTGTTTGATGCCTGGGGAAGACCATTTCCATCGGGTTCATTGACAGGAAATACGTTCTGGATAGGTAATTATGATGAATGTGTCAACGACTTGTATCAGGAAAATAATAAATCCTTCGTACGACAACCTATTGAAACTCAATATTGTAAGTCCATTGCTATTTCTAGGTATTGAGAAAAATAAACCTTGTTTTCTTTGAGGTGCACTTCAGTCAAACCCTAGTCAACCAGTAGAAGTGAGGACTGGTTTAACTATCGGTCTTTGTTTACCAGCATCTTGTAACCGTCATTCAATTATCTCACTTATACGAGAAACATTGAATGTGACAGATTTGACTGAAAAGAATCTGCAGTGTTCTAACGATCGGTCCCATGAGAAGAATACTCACTTGGCAGATACAATCGCCTTCATTGTTATTCTTTCGATCTTGTTTCTTATTGTATTAATTGGAACCATCATCGATTTCACAACTGATACGTGCCTATCAGTAAAAAGGACAAAAATATTGCATCTTGGACACAGTCACGAGTTATCAAAGGAACTTTCGGACAAAACTACATCAAGTCCCATAGCCAATGAATCATCAGAATTATTGACCAGAAAGCATCGTTTTATGGAATTTCTCAGCGAGTTTTCTGCTCTTCGTACGCTACGACATATCTTTGCAATAAAGAAAAGTGATAACAAAGATACATTCACATGTCTCAATGGTATTCGTGTTCTTTCACTCATATGGGTTATTCTTAGTCATTCGGTTTCTTCCGGTATTTATTATGCAGCAAATTTACTCGATATGCAAAGAGCAAGACGCAATATCATTGTTCACTTGACAATTAGTGGTGCTTTTGCTGTTGACACATTTTTTGTTCTGAGTGGCTTTTTAACTGCTGTCCTTTTCGTTCGGAAAGTAAAAAAAGATTCATTATCTTTACGACTAATGGTTCTGTACTACGTTCATCGATATATTCGTTTGACACCAAGTTTCATTCTAGTAATGTTGGTCAGCATTTACTTAACTCCCTATTTTGGTCGTGGACCTCTCTATCCAATTCAACAAGGATTCGAACCCCAAAAATGTCGTGATGGTAACTGGTGGACTGCATTTTTATACATTGGTAACTTTTTGAAATCAGACGATCTGTGTCTTGGCATTACATGGTATCTCTATAATGACATGCAATTTCATTGGGTTGCACCACTGGCATTGATTCCATTTGTCAAAGGACGAAAACTTATAGCCTATGCCATAACTATAGTTTTTGTGTTAGTTAGTGCTGGATCAATCCTTGGTCTCCTACTGTATTATCCAAGTTTTGTTCAACAAAATGCAGGTCTTGTTGCCAATACAGTAAACTATTCGAGAGTTTTTTTTTAGTTTCTCATATTATTTTGATCGTTTCATCTTTTGTCTTTAGACTGAACCGGTCTTTTTCGACAAAGTCTACATGGCTCCGTGGTGCCGCATTGCAGCATACGCTATTGGAATGTTCACTGGATTTCTGATTATTAATACGGACCGTCGCTATTTGTTGAACCGAAGAGGACTAATCATCGGCAATGTTCTTGCTATAGTATTAGGTTTAGGTAGTGTCTTTTGGAATTATGCTGATTCGATACTTCCATCTGGTATGAGTCCTGCTTCAAAGTTTGCCTATAACATTCTTTCTCGAACCACTTGGTCAATCTCTATATCATGGCTCATATTTATATGCAGTAGCAATCAAGGTGGCATTGTTAGTCGAATATTATCTTCCCGTTTATGGTTGCCTTTAGTGCGCCTGAATTATGCTGCTTATTTAATTCATATGACAATTATTTTGATCATTGTATTTAATCAATCAAATCCATTACACTATCAATTTATGACTTGTTTAAACAGTTTTGTATCTCATTTGTTCTTTAGCTATTTAGCTGCCACTGTTGTTGTGATCTTTTTCGAAACACCTTTCTTTATTCTAGAAAAGAAGATATTTAAATAATAAATGATAAGAAGTAAGATTCGAGCCATATAAGCGAAAGAATGCTGTTTTGGATGAGACCTATTCTAGTTGTTATCAGATATTTTTGGAAAAAGCAGCTCAATTTCTTAGAATATATAGCAAATACAAAATATAGAATTAGCTATTCGTGTCGTAAAAGAAAACAACGAGCTAGCCTGTCTAGACTATATGTTGCTCCACGACCTAGTGGACGTTATTCGTCTGCACACGCATCTCGGTAATTTTGAATATAATGAAATTGCAGTAGGCAGAGCATATTTTCAAGTCGAAATCTTTGATAAGAAAGGTGTTCTATTCAATCCATGTTTATTCATCGAGGTAGGTGATGAAGACAAGTATATTTCATTTTTATCTAAGCTGCAAAAGAAAAATAAATAACATGTTTATTATCGAAAACTAAAGATAACTGAAAAACAGAACAAGGGTATGGGTGTGAGTGTGGATCTGGTTGTCGAAGTCCGATTAAAGACAAAAAAAGAACACTCACATCCACACCCATACTTTACATTCACTCTCACTAGTGGTTTATTTCGTCGAGAATCAAATTTTAAACTTCACTTTTGTTATTAAAGTGTTTACTATAGGTGTAGATGCAGATTTACGGGTATGGACATTTTGATATACGAAAATAAGGAATCATCGACACTCTCGACCTTCGCTCCACCTACATTCACATCCTACATTTACTAATTCTATCATCAACTCAGAGAATACAAACGAAGAAAAGAATTTTTGTGGTTTTTCATGCTTGCACTCTTCGAAAGAAATCTAACAGAACCATGAAGATTTTAACGTAGTTGACAATTTTATTTTTCGCAGAACAGGCGTTAGTCTTTGCACAAAAACATAATGTATGCATCACAATGGTGTCTTCTTTTGTTTTTCATTGTTTCTATATCGGAAATAGTAATTTAAATCTTTTAAATTGAATATGGGTATTTAGTTCAGTCAAACTCATATCCAAATCTAACTTTCGATTGATCCATTGAACAGTATCGATTCCTACATGTCACATGACATTGAATATTTTACAGTTGCTATGTGCAGTCCTTCTAAATGGAATGTATCGTTGGCAAGAATTTTAAAAGAGACGAAAAAAAAGAACGTATAAAATGGCAGAAACAGTACATAAATTATTGCTGAGATACAAGAATAACACTGAATCATATACAAAACGATCATAATTAAAAACTATTAGTTATAGTTGATTGTGGCAACTGCATTTCAGTGAGTCACTTATTGAGAGGATTTCTAAGACGAGAAAGAGTATTTTTAAAGTTATGGGTAGGGTTAAGATACGATTGGTACACTGACTATAGAGAGCTTTAACACATGATATTGATAGATATATATCAACAGGAACAGTAGTGAATATAAAATAATTGAACCATTTCTTTATCATGTATATGAAAATCTGATTTACAGAGAGCCTCTATTGAATCACTGACCAAGCATTTATACAAGAGGGATGGGTGTGACCGATTGTATGGAGTGGGGGTGTGCGAGTTTGTGGATATGTGGGAGAATGTGGATAGCATTAAAATAATACCGACATTGTCACATACAGCCACACCGACCGACACCCACGTCCAACATCTCACTCCATATCCACATTCGTACCTATCAAAATACCAATACCCATCCTCCAAGTCCCCAAATCGACCCGTCCATATTCATCCAGTGAAACATCAACACCCATCTACCAAGCCTCCAAATTCGTAGGCCTCAGGATGGGTGTAAGAGTGGGTATTTGTGGACCTGAAGGCCGGTTTTAATATGAGCAGACTTGACTAAAGCTAGGTGCGAATAAATACGGGTCTGAGTGGATTTAGGTGTCCATATTTTATTATTCGCAAACCCAAATTAGTAGAGACGTCTGGGATTCCCATATAAACAAAACACCCAGGATGCGTGTGGGCGTGGATATCAGAAATAAACAGTAATACCTACACCCTCAAGAATTGTTTATTAAATAACTCTTCTCTTACATTTGCATCGTAGTAACATTTGGGCATCTTTTCATGTTTTCTTTTCGAAGCATTTTTATTAACGCTCTATTTCGGACTGCATCTGATATCAATAAAATATTCAAGATAAGGAACTGAAGACACATTCAATTCGTAGGAAGTATGTAAATCAATATTGTTCTTATACAACGGAAAATAGTTCGTACTATCCAATAGTGAAAACTGACTAATAAAGGTGAGATTTCAGAATAGCTAATAAAAAATCTGGTTATAGACAACAAACAAGCGACGTCATATTTTATTCCATTCTTTGATAAATGAGACGAATATGATTTCGAATATCAATAAAACGTTTTTGTAAGTTCACAAGAACAAGCGTTATTTTTCGAATTTAGTTCATGTTTTTCTCCAATGAAAACAAGAAACGATTAGAAAAACATCTATTAGTGTTCACTTGAAATTGAACTGCAAAATATTTTATATATTAATAAAAGAGTATTTTCAAAGAAATTCAATTTATATTTGATAAAAATTCAGTATATTATATTCTGATTGTCAACAGCTTTAATAAAAAAGTTTATTACGAGCATATTCGTGGGTATGAATGCTAGTCTTTCCTTCGCTTACAAGCACATTATTCAAATTGTTTTTTGTTACGATTTGTCTCCAGATTGTTCATCTTGAGAAAGCTGGATAAAAGGATGGATTTTTCAATCTTTGTATAAATCTGATGGCAATAATCGAAAGTTGTCAGTTTTATGAAAATGACGAACTTCGTTGTCGATTTACGTCACAAAATTAAGCATGATTGATAACGTTTTTTTCTGTATTAATAATACAGATCAATGATTTAAACAATAATTCTGCGACCGGCCGTGCAAATTTGTAACAAAATTGAACAAAGAATAAAATAAAGGCAAGTGAGTTGGGTGAGATATAGTATCTTATTGTTGATTTATTCTACATGTAAGAGAAAAAAACATAGAAACGATGATATATCATGTAATGTTTGAACAAACAACAATAAAAATAGAAGTCAGGTTCTAACGAATCATATCAACTATGGCAAGTAGGAAGCAAATGTACAGAATTTGTCAGTATTTCACACATTGGGTAACACAATCAAAAATATCAATGTACAACTAATCAGCGATTAATTCTAGGAATCTCCAATATCAACCGCTTCTGAATATCCATAAAAAAGAAATTTTATCCTGATTTGCCAAAAACTGACTCAATTAGTGTAAGCACATACAGGTAGATTCTGTACCTTTGAATAAAAATCATCTAATAGAATTTCTTAAACAAGCTAAATGTTTGACAGATAGCCTGTTCTTAACAAATATATGAATGCTGATATTCTCTTTAGAAGCAAAACGTATCACAATTTTGAGAAATACTTCTAAATATGAATACAAATCAAAATTTGATGTTTTGTCATGTTGAAATATAATTTTGATGAATTCTAACTATTAGCACGCTCTTGATTAAATTTATTTAAAAGAAAAGTAAAAAAAAAAGTGAGTAAATAAGCAAAATAAAATAAGAATAGAGTTTAAATCATAGTATGAGCTGCATCTGTCGCATTTAATGTCGACTGTTTACCAGCAGATTTTCCGAGTCGAATGTAGCACAGACCACCGATATAAACGATTGTTCCTCGAGGACAACATTTGGGTAAACCTTGAACACACATCGGATGGGAGGCTGGACAACAATAGCCATTACCACAATTTGTATAACAGAATTGAGCATCGGTGATACCAAGGTTAAAGATAACCATTAAAAAAACGATAGCCATAGCCACCATCTTTGTATTGTATTTGATCATTTTTGTAGTTGCTTGAATGTGAAATGTTTGTCTGTTTTACAAAACTAGGCAGCTATTTATAGGACGAAAGTAGGATGTAAACGTTCATGATTTATTTATTAATGTTCTTATCTATATAATTTTTTTACAAGTTTCTAAAGCAATTATCAACACAATAAAATAAACATAATAACTAAATTGAAAGTGATACTTCCTTTTCGAAATGAAATACTGACATTTTATTAATATACACTTTTAAATAAGTATGAAAGCAAACATTTTATAATTTGCGTTCAAGAAATCCGGTAGAATTCAATACGGTGAAGTTTAACAATTCTTTTTGTTAGGGTCTTATACAATATGCTAATTTGTTGAATTGACCACGGGTTATGATAAATACTCCTATGATTTTTGTCAATGTCATCGTTTCACATTCTAAGATCAAGAAGACTACATGAACAGAGATGAATTTCCTATTGTTAATCAATATTACAGATATTAAAAGAACTTTCAATAAATGCTTCCATGAAATACGCATAGTTTTACTTTTTCTCACAGATACCATTTTGAAAAAAATTTCAAAAATCATGATATTTGAATATTCATAGTTTTATGCCTTTGGGTACCATAGAAACACTTCTTATTTCATTCGATGTTTTACACGTAGTTTTATTGTGTCAATTGATATTTCTTTTATGTTTATTTACAAACCTGTGAAAAGACATATATATGTAGGACACATTAAGAATAAATGAATCGTGACTTTGTACTTCCAGCTTTTTATGTCCTCTCATTTGCGAAGGGTGTGGCTGTGGGTGTGGAGTGTGGCTGTGGGTACGGGTATCGCTCTTGTTCAGACACCCACACATAAACGAACACTCACACCCACATCCACATCCACACCCACACCCACACTCCACACTCACACCCTACGTGCAATAACTCTTGGGTAGTAAATCTGTCGTTTCTGAGTATTGATCTTACAATCTGACACATTTCTAAGTGCCTTCAATAAGATGCTTTGATTTGTTTATTCATAAAATCGTACACAAACAGACATGATTATTAAGAAAGTATGTATTTTCGTCAGACTTATTGGCGGGTACCCGATTGTTTGTTGCTGTACGTCGAACATGTTTTTGCCAAAGTTCAAAATCACGATGCTCTATTCTAACATAGTTGTTAGAACGGGACAAGAAAAAGTTTGTTAGATTAGTGCGCATCAATTCAGTACGTTTGAGTGTTGATTGTTTCACCAGGTCGCGCATCACTTCATCATAGGTATTTAAATCCTCGATATCGATTGCGCCGTGATAATGGATGTCTAATTGACAATAACCTACTAGAGCAGCACACTCTGGATGATCTTTGATGTCTTGAGAGAAACGATTGAGAGTATCTATTGATATCTTATCACAATGCGTAAGCACAAGGGCAGAAATTGGTTTAAAGCGATCTCCCAAAAAATGAATAAGAGACTTGAATGTTTCTAGATCATCTTGATGTGTTTTACTAGCAATACTGACGAAGCAGATAACATTGAGAGCACGTACTCGTCCACTAACGAACATGTCATAAAGAAGGCCGAGAAGTTTCTCGTTCGTACGAATTTCCTTCGGATCATTACGCACTTCATAGAGACCTGGGGTATCAATGATGTTCAAAGTATAATTTTTTCCGTCGTCAGATGTAATAGACAGTTCTTTGAAAGACGGTTCTCGTGTCTGAGAAATACCAGCACGTGTTGAGCTGTAGTGTGGATCACGCAGTACTTCGATGAGTGTAGACTTGCCCACCTGGGAACGGCCGATCAGTAGTATGTTGATGACGGAAGGATCATGAACATACGACACTCAAACAGATTAATTAAAGACAAATTACACTTTTTGTGCCTTCAGAAATATTCAAAATGTCCATTTCTCTTGAAATTTCTACATGGCAAGAATAAATTTCTTTGTAATAACTCCAAAATGTGCTAGTTTTTTGCTATAAAAAGACCTTTAAAACTTTTAGAGAATCTATCTCGAAGTTTCTCCTTAATAACAAAAAATAAAAACAGTTTCACGCCGTAAACTTTTTAATCGTTAGGTTTTTCATTATTGGACTATAGAGTCGTATCAAATCTGGTTGCGATGCAAAATTTTTTTAATATGACGTAGAAACTGTTAATGTCTGTACTTACCTTCTTTCTGTCGAACCGATCGACGCTCAACAATCGGCATTTCGATAGCTACTTCATCGCCTTTTTCTACTTTCGCGTCTTTAGGCTTCAATTTCCATATTGTAGACAGATTGTCTTTATTTTGTATTCTTATAACATAGTCATTTTGTTTCTTCACAACCTGTAACGAAATCTTCAGAAAAAATCTTCCGTTAATAATAGAATCTTGGAGTTTGATGCGTGAAGAATTTAGTGGAATAATATTATTTCCATGCTTCACTTCTACTACTTGTAATGTGACGGATGAATCAAATTCTGTTGTCATCCATTCTCCCTCTATTATAAATGGTTTATAAGAGGGTATTTCTTCAAATTCAGTGGTTTCAGCATCCATCGGTTGCTTCGTTATTTGTGGCGTATTTTGTGCTGCTTGATAGGTTTGTATACCTATGAATGAATAGAAGTTATTTTCATTCACTGTGAACTTAGGGGTGCAACAAATCTTGTAAAGATTTGGGATTTATGATCAAATCCTTTGGGTTTGGATTTGGAGTATGGTTTGTACCTATGTTTGAGACTTGGGATCTGGATTTGGATTTGGTTTAGGATTGGGGCATAGGATTTGGATTTGGCTTTGAGATTTGTAAAAACCATAGCTATGGAGGTATCCATAGGTCCTCATGGACTATCCTATAGGAGTACTTATAGATCCTTATAAGCTATTATATGGAGGTACCAGAGATCCTCATGGACTATCCTATGAGGGTACTCATGGTTCCTCAAAGACTATTCTATTGGGATACTCATAGGTTCTGAACGGCTACATTATGGAGATACTCATAGGTCCTGAAGGAGTATATTATGGAGATACACATAGGTCTTCAAGAGCTATTAAATGGGAGTGCCTATAGGCCCTGCAGGCAGTAAGAGAAACTTCTATACATATAACATTGAGTGTCTCTCTGTGCGAGGTCAAAGGTTAAAGGTCGGATTAGAGTGTAGATGAATAACACTAATAAGGGGTGAGGCTATAGAGGTGTGAAACGTAGGGCGGGGAGGATAAAGCTATAGAAGGGTAAGTTGTAATAGGGTAAAGCTATAAAGAGATAAGACTACAAAGTGGTAGGGCTATAACTGGGTAAGGCTATAGAGCAAGGAGCAATAAAGGAGATAAGGCCAAAAAGGGGTACGCCTACAGACAAATAAGTTTATAGAGGAGTGGACTATAAAAGAGGTAAATCTATAGCGGAATGGACTATAAAGGAGGTAAATCTATAGAGGAATGCACTGTGAGTGATATGAGATAAGGCTGTAGAGGTGTAGGTTGCAAGAGAAGTTGGTCTATAAAAGGATAAGACTATAATGTATTAAACCTATAGAGGGATGAGGTTACAGACGAGTAGGGCTATAGCTATGCAAGGCTATAGAAGGATGGGCTATAAAGAAAGTAAGGTTGTAACAGAGTAAGACTGTAATGGCTTAGGGCTATAGGGAATAAAGATACAGATGTGTAAGGCTATAAGAGCCTCAAGCAATAGAGGGCTTTACCTATAGAAGGGTAATGCTATGACGCCGTAGTGCTTATCTGTGCATTTTGTTAAGTGTGTGTATCTGTGTTACTGAATGAATGATTAAGGGTTTCAGGGCATACGTTAGAACAAAAAGCAGCCGTGCAATATGCACGGACTAGCGAGAGCCCGTGCATATTGCACGGATGCTTTTTTCCTGTAAACTTTCACATCTGTCCTTTAGCCTTGATTCAATAATAGACAATCAGACAGTTTGCATTATATATATATAGACCTAATAGTCTTACCTCCTGTAGCCTTATACTCTAGTGGTATTAATTCTTATAGCTTTATTTTCTTATCCCTTATATCCCGTGTAGCATCATCTACTTATCTGCTATACCCTTATCTAGGGGTTGGAAGTTACCGTTCCCAGACCATTAGCCGGTAACGGTAACGGTTCCTATGGAAGGAGTTACCAGTTACCCGAGTAACTAGTAAAGGGACCGTTACCAGTCACTTTTTTTTGATAAGTTTTTAAAAACACTAAATATCACTTCTAGTGGGCCGAATATTGACAATACACCAATAAAAAAAAATTGGAATTATCTGTTACCCAGGTAACTGTTACCTGTTACAAGTTACCTTGGAACGGGTCAACTTAAAAACAACGTAGTTGTAAAAATCTGTTGATGGAAAGTAATAAGTCATCTTTTTAGAGAAGTTACCAGGAAAAGTAACTGGTAACGGTGCGGTTACCAGTTACCCGAGAACGGTATTTTACCACCCCTGCTCTTATCTCCTTATACTCTTTTAGTTTTATTGCTTATACACCTGTAGCTTTAGCTTTTTATCCTTTTATCAGCTTATAATCTCATATTCCTGTAGCCTTGTCTTCTAGCCCTTACAGCCTTATAGCCCTTGAGGACCTATGAGTGCCTCCATAAATAACTCTTGAGGACCTATGGGCACCATCATATAATAGCCCTTGTAGATATATGGGCAGCATTATATAATAGCCCTCGTGGACCTATGGATACCCTCATATAATAGCCCTTGAAGATCTATGAATACCCTCATATAACAGCCCTTGCGAACCTATGAGTACTTTCATATAATAGCCTTTAGGGACTTGTGAATACCTTCATTTAATAGCTCTTGTGGACCTATGGGTATCTTCATACGATAGCTCTTGATGACCTATGGTTACCTCCATATAATGGCTCCTGAGGACCTATGGGTATCTTCATACGATAGCTCTTGATGACCTATGGTTACCTCCATATAATGGCTCTTGAGGACCTATGGGTACGTCTATGTAATAGCTTTTG